TTCGCTCACTGGGGTAGACTGTTCTAGTTCCACGTGCCATGTTTAATGGATGTCAGTTATCAGTTATCTCCTGTTAATTCCCCTCTTCAAGTTCTCAACTGCCTTACACGGGTATTGAACTCACAAATCTTTGGTTCCTGTCACTGGATCTAACTAACGCCTTTATCCACTGTGCCATGTGTCCTTGAACTAGAACAGTCTAGCCAGCAAGCGAAATAAATCAGGTGTGTTATAAATATTATTTATAGAAATCTATCCAAGCTCTGCTGAGATCTCTACATTTTTCTGCAGTTTTACAGAATCATTTTATTTATTAGTAGTTGATCTTTGCAATCATATGAACCTCTTCAACATCTATTCTGTTCCAGGGGAAGAATTTTTTTTATGTTTTTTTATTCCATCTAGAAAAAAGTATGTACAATTCATCAGGATTTATATGTGGTGAACAGACAGGTTATAGGCCTATAATTTTTGGGATCATCTATTTCATCCATTTTTGGTAGGAGGTATGGTGATTTTCTAAGCGTAGCTTAGATGTGGCACAAGGCCGAAAGTAGGAGGCACCCAGTGAAGATCGAACTCACCACTCAGTCGTAATTGTTCTAGCGAGACAAGCTTGCTAACCATTGCACCATCTCGAGGTGTCCAGGTAGGAGATATGTAATGCCTTTAGTGATCCTTTTTGGAATTTCATTGGCGTTATTAATTAGCTTTAATAAATTTTGCGTTTTATGAATTTTATGGATTGATGACAGATGACAGAGCCAAAAAATAGGTACATCGCTATTTCCTGCAAATTTCTATTTGGGGGATTTTGTTAAAGCTTACTTAACATTATTCATAGCTATATTTGTCCTTTCTTGCACAAGTTTATCCCTCATTGTTTTCTTGTTCTCGCTTTATCCACTCTGCATTGAGATTATATCCCTTTGGGTTGCTCCAAATATTATTATTATTATTATTATTATTCTGATCAGCCTTTGCTTTTTGTAGTAAGAGTTGCCCCTAGGTCTCAAAAATAGACTGCAAGAGACGGCTAGCTTTTGTATCAGACAATGCAGTTGCCTTGCAATCAGACACACATATGTAATTTTGGTGACTGCACTTAGAGAAATCTATGCAAGATGTGTAAAGTACTTATGAATATGATTTTTTTTATTAGTAATTTATTTATTTTAGGGCTACCAGGAATTTGATCCATATATTTTTCTCCGTTAATTCCTAAATCTCCAGTAACAACAAGTAATGGGTTTATCTTCACATACCACGTTCTGCTGAATTATATCTCGATATTTTTGTATTTACTTAGTCTCAAATGTTCTTTTGTCAACTAAGGCTGCAACGTTTATTAGAAGACGAGTGTTTTCAACAATTAACTCTGGTTGAATTTTTAAAGTTTTCCTATCATTTCGAACGCAGAAATTCCAGAGGATGATATACACTTCCAACGGTGCATATTCCCACCAATACTTTTTGTGAGGGAGGTTCAATCCGCGACATATTGACCAGTGTATATACTGAACAACTCTCTCATATCGTTGCATGTATTATGTTGATGCTACATCTTGTTATTATCATTTAACGTTATGTAAAATGAATTATAATCACAAAGAACTGATGACTTTCGTCGCTACTAGCTGCTTCACCAGGACTTAATATAGTCAAATACTCTCTTTTCCGTAACCAACTAGAAGCTAGAGAATAAAGTGAAATTCTTTGGGCTAGTTTGTTTAACGGCAGAGAAAATACTTATGCGCCATTTAATGTTGAAATAATGTACTGCTATTAAAATGATCACTATCAAAATTTAATGCTGGTAATTGTACTGTATAAAATGTATTTTTATACTTTCGTAATGTTTTGGCCTTAGTTTAGAGGTTCACTGTTTGCCTATAACAGGTGCTACCATTCCATATCAGGTAGGACCTAGGAACAACAGCAATTAAGAGATGATTTCACGTTCCTCAAAACCTCCCAATTAGGCAACTAGATGTCGGACGTAGTTTATAGTCATACTCACAGCTTAAGGAGAAATAACTGAAAGAAAATACAGGTAATCGAACAACACTACAAAACTAATGCTGGTCAGTATTATGCTTTTCATACAAAGTGACTAACTGTTGTGGTAGGATCCACCTAATTTGCATAGTGGAGTACCGACCATATAAATATGGTTGGTACCGGGAAGAGAGGGTGGAATCAAGAGATTCACTCTCAGTCGAACTCTCTGCATTTTGCAGTGAGGTACCCGGACGAGGCTTTGCCGAGAGGTAGGGTTTGGTCCGGGGTGGTAGACAGGACTTGAACCCGTCTAGGCGGGTTCAGAAAGGCCATATTTTTGGCCGAGCCTACGGGCTCGGAGATACCCACTTTAAACCGGCCTTGTGCCACATTTTATCATCGTGGGTGGATAGATAAATACAGGAATCAAGAGATTCAACCAGAGACTCTGCCCGACTGCGACTCAGTCAACACATTCTCCAGGAACGGTCTTACCAGGAATATACAAAAAACTATATGTAAATATTGTGTACACTTTCTTGTTCAATACATTTTGTTCTAAGTACATTTTGTGTTGCATTATTATTCCATGCATTAGTCAAGTTTCAACACTAACAAAGAAGGAAAGTGTGTTTTATGCCCATCTGTACTGCTAGATTGCTTTTAATATACAGTAATATTTTCTACTCTAGTTAAAGTGCTTTAAAGATAATCCATAAAAATATATGCACTGTTTAAATGGGTTGCTTTTGATATGCCCCAGCACAATTTATATCGTCAAATACGGTAAATAGAACAGAAAAATGAAGGTATGCAAAAAAGAATTATCTGTTGTATCCTAGAGAAGGATACTGAACAGAATAATCACAGGAAAGTTGGTAATTAACGATAATCCTTAAGAAAAGAACAACACATATAAGATTCGAAAGCATGGCATAGAAGAAGTAATCAACTACTTGAAGAAAATAAAAAATATAAAGTGTGAAGCTCGTTTTTATGCCCTAACCCATCAGGACGTAAGAGATTCTGATTCCTTTTTTCTTTATTGTCTGCGAATTTTTACGCATTGATGGGATAGATAGTGAACGGGTTACTAGTCACTTTGACAGCCTAGTGTTTCGATTTCAGAGTTTTCCTAATCTAAGTCTGGTTGTCATTGGAAGTAAAACAAACACAAATATAGATTCTTGTTTAATCTGCTATTTAAACCATAGCTGAGAGAATACGAGACGGACCTATGCCTTCTCCAAGGATATTTGTTTGAAACTGAACACAGCAGAATAACCTGACACTTGAACTCGACTCGCCGATTCCACTTTCGTTGCGGATATCTGTTACAGTAACCGCACATCCAAATACCATTATGCATTGATGCAACGTCCATAGAAAAATAAATCAAATATGTCGTCGAATATTATGGGCAGTAATTAAGGGAATATATATTGCCGCAACGCTGAACGTTCTTGTACATTAAGCGGGGAAACAGCTATTATGGCAAAAAATTGTAATTCTTGGAGCAGAGGAAATGTTATTTCGATTCTCGTCTTGAACTTCACAATCGAGACTATAAAGCACTTTTATTGGCTGCGTAGTATGCGTTACGCCATGCCACATAATGTTTTGAATTTAGAGTTAATATTCTTCAACACAGGTTGCCAGTCAAGAAGAGTCAGATTCCATAATCCTATCGTTGGTTGAGCAGTATGCGTTACGCCAGGTCTAGATACGGTTTTGAATTAAGAGTTGATATTCACCAAAACTGGTTGCCAGCCAAGAAAAGCCCGATATAAACACTTAGATGTATACTTGCATAAAAATTAGTTTTAGAAAGCACATTTAAAATGCAGATATAAGTAGAAGAAATATTTTTAGGCACAGAAAACGGGAAATTAAAAAGAAACTCATACCTAACATCAGGAAGAGACAGCTGAAATATCTGAAAAATGTAATTCGGAAGGAGGGCTTGGATAATCCGATCCTCACGGGACAGATTAAGGAAAAGAGGGACAGAGCAAATGGATGGTAGAACAGGGTTTGTGAGAAAAACAAAAAGACAAAATTTATTAAGGCCTACAAGGGACAGGATGATGTGAAGGGCCATGATCGCATACGCCCTGAAGGGACACTGCACATAAAAGAATAAGATCAAACACAAAAATTTCTATATTCGCCTCTTAACTACATATATGTTTGTGTTGGGAGTATTTTTCTTGTCACACACACACACACACACACGCACATTCTATCTATCTATCTATCTATCTATCTATCTATCTATCTATCTATCTATCTATCTATCTATCTCTCTTCAGCTTCCTCATTCTGGATTATATATACGCGCAATAGGTTGAAGGTTCAAACACACACGCATGCACGTACATACACGGGCACATACTATTATTCACTTTCCATATAAACATCAAAATTCTTACGCACATATATGCACATGCGCATTAACAATAATAGAGATACTGTATGTGGAGGAAAAGACATTAAAACAAGGAAACAAATTTCAAATAAACTTGGACAAGTATGGAATAATGTCATTATAATTAGTCCCTTTGTAAAAGTGGAACAACGACAGACGAGACTGACCTGCTAACATCCGTTACTCGAGTAGTTTCGACGCATATATATATATATATATATATATATATATATATATATATATATATATATATATATATATATAAATATATATATATGTATGTATATATATATATATATATATATATATATATATATTTGTGTGTATGTGTGTGTTTGTATATGTGCGTGTATGTGCGTGTGACAGAGGTATATTAATATAATCCTATAATAGTCTATATATATATATATATATATATATATATATATATATATATAGAAAGAGAGCAACAGAGTGAAAAAAGACCCATGGAATGACTATTACAGACAAATAGAAATAGACAAAGATGGGAATGAATAGATTGAATTATGGAGATAGACAGATTTGAATAGATTCTGATCGATAAATACACAGATATGAGTAGATTTAGGTAGGTAGATAGATAGATAGATAGATAGATAGATAGATAGATAGATAATGAACACAAGTAGATAGAAAGAGAATGAACACAGACGGGAAGATAGATAGATTCTGAACATCGATACAAAGAAGGAAAGAAATAGAATGAAACATATAAGTAGATGGAGAGATTCAAATGAGGGGGCTGCCGGTAAAATGATAATAGGGAATGAAATTTCTCTGAGCCAGTATAATTTAACCAAGCAGATATATATATATATATATATATATATATATATATATATATATATATATATATGAGATACAGGGTGATTTTCAGCTCACTTATGGAACTATACTAAACGGGTTTTCTACGGAAGAAACAGTTTGAAACAAAACATACATTTTTGCACAATGGGCTCTTTAAATACTTAAAAATTTATTTATATATATATATATATATATATATATATATATATATATATATATATTAACTTGAAGAAATACTTTACTTTTTATTACCTGTATTGATTGCCACAGGAAAAACATCATGTGATTTAAATAACATAATTTCAATGAAAACAAAAAATCTTATTGATTGAATATGCTTTTTTTTTTAATATTTTACCATTCTTTTACACAGACACTATTTACATTATTCGGACTGTTTTCCTCATCTTTGTCGCCACATCTATCACAACGATTCGGCCGTTGTACGCTCCGGCCTTTTTCAGGTGTTTGGAATGTCGCACTGAACCCTTTATTTCGCTCGCTGGGGTAGACTGTTCTAGTTCCACGTGCTATGTCTAATGGATATCAGTTATCAGTTATCTATTGTTAATTCACCTCTTCAAGTTCTCCACTGCCTTAACCAGGTATTGAACTCATAACATTTTGGGTCCTGTCACTGGATCTAACCAACGCCTTTATCCACCTTGCCGTGTGTCCTTAAGGAGAGGTGAATTTACTGGAGATAACTAACGATATTCTAACCCCCTGAAGAAGACCGGAGCGTACAACGGTCAAAACGTTGTGATAAATATGGCAACAAAGATAAGGACAATAGTCCGAATAATGTAAATAGTGTACATAATACCTCATCTTAGAAATAGAGACCGATCTTTTACACAGTTTTTAATTATCAACTACGGTTAAAAAAAAAAAAATTGCAAATTTTCCTTGTCGTGCTCCATAATTAGAATTCTGGTTTGAATTTATTTTCCATTCGATATACTTAATACAAATGATATAAAATTTATTTGGATTTATTCGTGAAATTGTAAAGTTTTGAAACATCACACTCAGTGATTTATTTGCTCACCGCCATGAGTCAGACGATAATTTAATTTAAAAACGCTACTTTCATTAAATATTGAAATATAAAGTTCTTTAATTACTAGATCAGGCACAGTAAATTTGCGTCAAGTCGCTTAGAACATTTCACCTTTCTTGGCAGATCTATTATCTCAGTGTGGGATATTTTATAACAAAATTTGTACAAGCATAAACAAAAACTAAATGAAGTCGTTTGTATTATATGCCCAGTAAAAAGTTCTTTATCCACATCTACAATAATTTTGCGTTCAGTTTCTTACATTTCACCTTTCTTGGCATATATATTATCTCAGTGTAGGATATTTTATAACTTTTATGGTCCAAGTTCCTTGTACCACGGTGATGGTCAAGGTTAGAACCAATGAAAGAATAAGACGAACACAGATATGGAACAAAGTTATATTACAACAGAAATATAATACAAAGAAGTAGAAGTATTAGTAATGACTATCAGATTTGGTTAGAGTGAACTATGTTGCCTTTTTAGGAGGCACGGTGGAGTAATGGATAGCGGCTTGGATTGAGGAATCGGAGAGCCGAGTTCGAATTCCAGTCGAATCCATTACATTCACTTACGTGCTAACACCCTTGGGAAAGGTGTGAATCCTCTTTCTTCTCCCTCCAGCTATGGGTAAATAGCAGGACAGACTGGGTTCTATAGCCTTGGATAATGGGTAAATAGCATGACAGACTGGGTTCTATAGCCTTGGATAGCAACTGGTCTAGGAGAAGGAAAACTCTGAATTCAAAACTGATCTTAGAGGGTGAATGGAGTCTCTCTGAGCCTTGGTTCGCAATCCATTTAGTGATGGTGTCACGATAAAAACACCCTTGATAGCCCTAGCAGAATTCAGCTATTTGACAAGATTATGAACTACACCAATCAAAGTATTGATGAGTTCAATCTCGGATGTGGCCGCAAGATGATGATGATGTCTCGACAAGTATCACTATTCCAATGTCCTTACAATATGCTCTCAATTATCTCTCCTCATCTTACAATATCCCCTGATACCTCTTGAGAGGCGCAGTATTTATAATGTCAGGAATAGTCCATTATTATTTTGGGTAAGTTCCAATAACAATAACAAATATTATAAAAACATTAACAAAAAGAAACTAAATGAAGTCGTTTATTAAATAGTTTAAATTTTACATTCTAAGCATTTCATCTCTGTCGTGCGCATGTATAGAAGGGCGGGTTGATTTTCACTTTTTTTCAGAAAATTAACATTATATTCGGCGTGAAAGCTGTTGTTTTGTGTGACACGTACTGATACCAAAAATTAGATTCGTACTTTTTACCAATTATTGAGCTGATAGTTTTAAATATTTTCTTAAAAAAGAAATACCTAAATTCCACAGGTCTTTGCTTACAAACTGACTTCAACATTTTACGATTTCAAGAATAAGTCCAAATAAACTTTATACCTTTTGTATTAGATAAAACGAATGGAAAATATATTCACACCAGAACTCTACTTATGGATCACAACAAGCAGAATATACAAACTTTTTACTGTAGTCGACAGGTAAAAACTTTGTAAAAGAATTGTAAAATATTACAAAGGGCTACTCAATCAATCAGATTTGTTAGATCATTTGTTCGATCAGAATTAATAAAAGAATATAATAGATAAAAGTGTGTATAATGCCATAATACTCCTGGGTATACATTTTAAGACAAAATGATTTTAAATTTTCATAGCTTATTGAAAATCAGACTAAAGCTATTGTACGGTATAACATATTACATCATAATATAACTAAATTCTTCCATATAATTTAACTTTTAAATAAATGGATGTCTTATTTGATGGCACAATGATTTACTAATAATGCGCCATGTATCTTGTTGATATAGAATTTATAAAGCTTCTGTCAGTTATAAATTTTATAAGGCTGTTCAATAAGGCTTTCTTTGATCACCGGAATGAAATTCCAACGCTACAATTTTTAACCTAATCTTAATTTTGAAACGCGTCTCCCACCCCAAAAATGGTAACGATTTGGAAAAAATATTTTGTGTCGTTATTTATCACCTCAGACCGCAACTTTTAAATTGAGTGCAATAACACAGTTCCAAAATCGACCTATCCTAATGCATCAACAGTGGTAGAGAAAAATAACTTAATGCCTAGACATTTGTCTAATGGTGGGTAAATACTTGTAACTATTTTTCACGATTTCAAAAGATTCAATATGATTATACGATATGTGTTCCTGAACAATTTTAACCATTCTGTCTGATCTTCTGTGTCAAAATTCGCAAATAATTGCTATGTAATGTTTCACGGTAGACATAAAAATAGTTACAAGTATTTACCCACAGTTCGACAAGTGTCTAGGCATTAAGTTATTTTTCTCTACCACTGTTCAACCGGTGGCTGGGTATTACGTCATATTTCTCTACCACCGGTAAAACGCTGGTCAGAGGTCAAAGGGTTAAACGCAACCAATAAACAGAAATATGCTTAGAATCGAAAAGAAGAAAATCTTGGTTTAGCACGTAATTTTCCAAGTCATATAGTTTTGTAACGTATAAATTCTTTCTAAGGAAAAGTGCGAAAATCATAGACACCAAAACACGGAATCAATCGACCAAAAATAAGCCTCGCATGAAGTGCTAAACGATAAACCATTGAAGCAACGTACAATAAAAGCAACTATTTTGCCAAACTTCTAAACACAAAGCTCAGTAGAATTATAATCGTGAATAATCTCCATCGTCCAGACTGACTGGCGACCACTGACTGCTTTCCTGATTAAACTCTTTCACGTGACTGCATCATTTAAGGACGCTGTCACTTAAGAAATGAATCTCCCCAGTGAATAAGAGAGAAAAAGGAATGAAGTGATTTTTTCTTTTAAAACAAATTGTTTTTTTTTAAGCTGTCCTAATTTTACTGGCAGTAGCAGACATTAATTTTTTTATTGTATGGCTAAAATGATTTGTTCGATTTAAGTAAAGATAAAAGTTTTTTTTTTTAACATTAACATTATTGTAAAATGCATTTATCGTTTTATTCGGCTATCTCCTATCTTTTAACCAACCTCAGAATGAAACCCTCAAAGATATATATTTTCTTTCTAAGTAACGAATTGCAGTAGGTTTCTTTTGAGAGTTTCGACGAAATTGTATATTTGCTTGCATTAAGAGAATTAAGTAAAGAGCAATATAAATCGTAGGCTTTAGCTTCGATACCTACTGATTAAAGTGGATGTGAGGAAATCTATCAGTTTGGCTATAACAATCTTTACCTAGCTACCAAAGATTCCTGTGATCTCGAGGAAGTGTACATAATTAAAATATGTAAGGGACACATTGCTCGCAGAAAATTAGCCGCACATTTTAAGAGTCAATAATTCTTTTATGAGGCGTGTCTCTTCAGGAGTTTGGCGATCATGGCTCTCCACAATTTCTTGTCATTGTATCATTAATAAATTGTGTTTCTTTGTCATCTCTCTTAAAGCCTGTTCTACTAACCATTTACTCGTCAGATGTATTCTGCTAGATGCAAAATTCACTATTTTGAAAACCGTAAGCGCGCCATTTTCCTTCTCTTAATTTTGAACGATTATTTTTCTTCTTAATTTTATTTGTCCTTACGTTCGTTTGAATTAATTAGGTGCAGACGTTCTTGTAATCAAGTTTTTGTTTCGTTGGAAGGGATTCATAGCCGTTCCAACATCAAAATATATGGAGTATCACCTTTTTGGGATTAATATTGGCTTTTGATAGACTTAATCACATGACGTCTTTTGTTCGAAGAATTCACTCCGTCAAGAGTTGTTCGTATTCGGA